TCGTAACTCATCATATAGCATAACATAACATATCTTATAATCACTTATTATAATGGTATTTTTGGGAAATCATCGTTCGGGCGCTGGTTGTTCGTACACACGACTCTGCTTTGTTTGTCTTGTAAGTTTTTCTTTTGAAAACTTGTTTTATTATCAAAATTTCCTCAAATCCTCGATTTCAGTTCAGATACGCCCGAAGGTGCACCCGAATCCCTCAAACCAAGGCTCTGATACCAAATTGTAACACCATAAAAATTAAAACAATTTTTCGCATTTTCAAACACATTTTCACAAATTCATTCATTCATAAAATGTCATAGTATCATGTCTTTTGTTTCACAAATATCTCCCAAGATCAAATAAATAAAATCCCATGTGTGCGTGTGTACGAATCATGCCGGCGCCTTCCCGCGATCATCACTGGTACCTGAAACACATAACACATAACACTGTACGCATAAATGCTTAGTGAGTTCTCCAAAATATCACTCTAACACATAATAGCCACTCGAGGCTGTAACTCTTTTGACCCTCAGGTCTATGCGTCTCAGTGGGGCCCTCCAGCCCCAACTCTCTATGGGCCCTCTGGCCCTAACTCTATGCACCCGAAGGTCCTAACTCTGTAACTCTGAATCATGCATAGCACATATCACAATAAATCATAGCACATAAATAACATGCAATTACACTAGCACATGACTCTAAAATACTCTATAACATAACTCTGTTACCTCATTAGGTACAATATAGTGAGAAGACTCACCTCGGGTATCTCGGTAATCTCTGACTCGGTAACGCTGGTCTAACCTCCGCCTAATTATATACAATAAATACTCTAATTATTATAACTCTCAAAGGCTAGACTATGTCCTCATATGACACTCTCAGAAGGGTAAAAGACCATTTTACCCCTCTCACAACCCAAAAGCCCCACAATAGACCATACCAGAAAAGTCAACTCAAAAGTCAATTTCCGAGTTACGGTGCGTGTACCAGATGTGTACGCTGGGCGTACTTGGCTGCCTCTCAAGATCGGGGAACGCCAGCCAGTACGCAGCGCGTACTGGGATTACGCCCGACGTACTCCCCAGCTTCAGCCCTTTAATTCTTTAGGTCTTGAACAGTTAATACTCAAGTCCAAATTCTAGATCCGACCACATCTAAGCCTCATAATCCATAAAGTTGATGACTTTATGCCTTTGCATGGATGGATAAGTCACCAACTCTCACAATGTTCCACCCTTTAACTCTAGAAGGCTTATACTCAAGCATGACCTCAAACTAATCACTAAATAAATCACTAATAGCACTGAATAGGGACAGATCTCGGACCATGGAGCACTTTACACTCATAAAGTCTCCACCTTTGGGGTTTTTAGCCATAGCAAAAGCACATGCAACAACAAATCAAAAGAAGAGGAATGTTTTGAACTTTATACCTCTAAGTGTAGTCCCTTGCTCTGTAGATCTCAGATCCAAAATGGCACCTCAAGCTTTAGCTTCCGAGAACTCCTTTCCTTCTTCTTCACTAAGTCACCAAAGCACAAAAAGCTCAAATCAACACTCTCATACACTAAGGACGATGGGAGCTCTCTTTTAGGGTTTCACTCACTGATGTGGAGGCTGAGAAATGAGCCTTAGCACCCTTTAAATAGTGCACAAGACGGAATTAGGGTTTTCCACCTGGGCCGGGTACGCCCGACGTAACTCTTGGTATGCCCAGCGTACCTTGGCGACACCACGTCCATTTTAAGTGCATGAGTACGTGCAGCGTACCCCTCTGGTACGCCCAGCGTATTCAATTGCTAAAGAAACTTCACTCAAGGACTAAACATGACCAATCCACAAAGAACAAGGATGAAAGAAGTATACCGGAATCTCGAGGTGTTACAAATAGGGGATAAGCGATTTGACCTTTTCAACTGTTGACCATATGTACTCTACTCTTTTTGTAATACATAAATTGATTGTACAAATGCATTGTATGTTTATACGACTTAAAATTCAGCATTTGACCAAAAATGCTTTATAAGGTAATTAAGATATATATATATATATATATATATATATATATATATATATATATATATACACTTATAAGTAAATCCATACTTAAAATAGTTTTGAAAGCAACCAAGCCCATGGTTTGTAGTGTTTGTGTGTATGTGTGTGCGTGTGTGTGTGTGTGAGAGAGAGAGAGAGGGAGAGAGAAAGACTCTAGTTAATGTTTATAGTGAGTCCTATAACCGAGCTATGTAACTGAATGTACCCCCTGGCCCCTATGTTGCATCATTATACGTCGTAGCAACGATAGTAGACACTTATCACCTACTTCGATCGAATGGTCAAGGTTGTTGTAGCTAGCAACCGCAGGTGGGGATGTCAACCCCGTGTAACTCTCACCAACCTTGTATTGACCCTCAAAACTATATATATTCTCAAGAAATCACTAAACAAACATTCATGACGGATTGGATTACAAGTGACCTAGTTACTAGTTGTTGTATTATCTGCCTATGGCAATTCATATACTATTTTTTCCACAATTTTGGTTTTCTGTTCTTTTTTCTAATTGGAAAAAAAATAACAAAAATCCAAGTTCTTAGAAGTTTATTCTTTATAACTTGCATACAGTCATCGAAAAAATATTTTGTTTTAAATTTTTTTATTTTTATAAAAAAAACATAGATATTTTTCTGTTAAAGAAATCATGAATATCTAATGGGTATTTCAAATCACTATATTGGTGACTTTATAAAATGATTTAGAAAAAAAGTTTTTGAAGTGTTGATATTTTAATTTATCTAAATATTAAGTATTATAAAATATAACGTTTTTTTCCCTCAAAACTCAAAAAAAAAAAAAAAAAAAAAAAAAGTGTTCTACATCTTAAGGTGTGTTTGGGATTGCTTTTTTAAGGTAAAAGTTCTTTTGTAAATAGAACTTTTTATGGAAGAATTTTTTTTTTAGAAGAAGGTATTTAAAATGTGTTTGCATGGATTTTTAAAACTTTTAAAAGATAAAAATCAGAAGTCACAAAAAGATGGGATTTCATGAATTTTTAAAAGGCTCCTTCTTAAGCATGATTAATTTAAAATGACTTTTCTATTTTGCCAAACATCTTTTGAACCTTTTTAATTTTTTGGAAAAGTTAAAAGCCTAAAAGTTGTTTTAAAAGCAAAACCAAACACACCTTTACTATTTCACTAAGTTTTCAAAATACATTTTTAAAAAATATTGTTGTATATTACCTACGTTTTTTTTAAAGGAATCCAAGTTTTTATAAAACATAAGATGTGAAAATTTGCATTCTTGAAGTAAAAATTATTTTAACGTTTCTCTATATATAATATATTATGAACTTCTAAGGCCGTTTAGATATTTCAATTTATTTTAAAAGATTACACATTCTTAACAAAATAATATTAAAAATAGTATAATTCAAAATGAGATAACTTAAAATTTTTATTCAAATTTTTTTTATCCATAATCACATCTTTTATAATTCAAAATTAAATAATTCAATAAATATAATGATCTAATTTTATTATTATGGAAAACTTGATTTAATTGAGTATATTATAACTTAAAATCAAATGTTTAAAAAATGATATCTTCAAAGTATTATAATTCAGATCTAAAATTTTAAGATAAAAAATTATATAATGCTTAATATCTTAAGATTCGAATTATGTCTTATATTTATTAGGTTATTATCGAATACATACATTACCATTCTCATATATTTAACTAAACTCATTCTGTCATTCATTAAAGATTAATGTCGAGTGGGACCAAATCAATTTCAATTGCACATCGCACATGCCCATATTCAAAGCTTTGTATTTTTCTTTTATTTTCCTATAATTTTCAAACTTTAGATTTTTTTTATTTTTTTTATTTGAAACACATGAAACGTATGGCAATAAACAATTGAATCTATTTGTGTTAAACGACAATGATATAAGGATGCCTTATTCAAATTCTTGGAAAAATCAATGTGCAACACATTATTTTTTAAGTTGTCTACAACCATCACAGTTTCATATACACTATTACAAGACAATGCTTTAAAATAAAAAACACCATTATAAAAAGTATTAATAGCACTAAACTATAAGGCCACATTGACGCAAAACTTAAGACCCAACAATCTCGCCCTTTGCGTCAACTAAGGTACTGTGGAGTTCGCTTTTTCATTTTAAATAGTTTTGGAATAATGCTCAGCAATGCCTTGCAAACTTAGATATACCAAATGATCATATCCGAGATGTACTTCTTATCTCCTTTGTTGTTCCCTCTGGATTAACCTATAATGTCCAAGATGTATTGTAGGCATGAAGTGGTGTAGAGATGCTTATCAGCAAGAAAGAAGCAAACTTTCAGAACGTCAGCATCAGTTTACTCTTTCATTTGAAATACCATACACCAGCCATGCTTTCGTATCTTCCATGGCTTCATTTTATCAAAGTCTTCTGGAGAATTTTTGGGGAGCGCATACGGATTCTTTCGCAGTACGGTTGCAATTTTCACATCCATTTTGCCAACCTATTGAATGTATGAGATTAACATTCGTTTGAGATGAGCAACAACATGTTCATACTTCTGTTCATCCTTGACCAACATGTTGAACAACAAAATCCAATCGTACACGTTCAAGAAAGGATGATCAGCAAGAGTGAATTCGCACACCTAACTCGTAGAACCTATAGCAACCTTAAAGCGAGCATTTAGGAAGCTATCAGTTTCTATGGGAACTGAAACCTTCACAACATTTATCTTCTTAGCACTCTAGGGTTCATATTGAGGCTTCATGTGCTTCAAGTAAAATGAAAAGAGAAAATGGTATGCACCGATGTCTGTCAGAGGGACGTTCGCAACTTTGATGAAGCTACGAAACTTGAAGGCTTTCGGAGTGATTGGAACATCTAGTTGCGAATCTTGTGTGTTCTGCAAGTCGAAAGATAAAACTGGCTCTAACCAATACTGGCTTGGAATATCTACAGCTTCGCTCGTAATTCGCTCCAAAGTCCACAATGAAAATAAAAGCTTTTGGCTTTCCTATGTGACTTGAGCTTTGCATTCAACTCTCTCTTTTCTTCCACTTCTCTCACAATCTGATTATGTTCATCCATTTGATCTTCACAAGCCTTCCTTCTTTTTAACTCATGCTCATAGGGTTCTTCTTCTTTGTTGTCATCAATGACCCTTTCATCATTGAGCTTTTCCTTTCCTTTCAAATCCAAAGCTACATTATCATTCGATTCATTTTCTGCCTTTAGCTCGACTGTTGGCTTCATAGTTTGTTTCAGGTTTTCCTTCTTGGATTGCTTCATAGATTCTCCCCCTTGTTTCGGAAGTGAGCTTGACTCCAAAACATCCTCAAGTCTGTTCAGCATTGCGAACACATGCCTAAGTTTCTCATCCAAACATTTCTTTACAATCAACATGATCAGAGGGTTATGAGTCTCGATTATGTTAGAGAGTAAGGCGTTCATAACTACAATGCAACTCTTCATTATTGCCTTTTTAGATAAGAGTTTGTTGGTCTGTTTCTCGACTTGTTCCAGCTTGACAGTCAGAACCTTCACTTTTCAGTCTTGACTGCGAGCTTGTCAACGCAATTGTTCTCAATCGCCAAGTCTTCATGAAGCTTATCGATCTTTGAAGTTATGGAGGAGTTGCTCTGAGTTGTCTAATTGGAGACAAGTGCGAACTTCTTCAAGCATTTCTTTTTGTATGCGAAGAGTTGATCCAATACTGGAAATGACTTTGTTCGCCCTCCATGTTTTTGATTCAAATGAGCTCTAAAAAGTGGTCATGAAGGATCTAGCATCATTAATTAGTTTATCGACTTTTTCAGTCGTTTCCTTACATATTGAAGCTGAAGCATCAACAATTTGATTCGTCTTTTCGGGATTTGTAGTGTGTTCTTTGGTGAGGGTCTCAAGAAAAGACTTGATCATAGCCTGAGAATAATCATCATTGGTTGAGGTCTTAGAGAATTGAATCAGCAAATCCAGCTTCTCGTTAATGGCCTTGAGTTTCCCTAAGGTGACTGGAGCGTCATCATCACTCTCAGTCATAATGTTGAAGAGGCTGTAGGTGAAACCTCCAAAATCATCTTCATCTACACCATAAATAGTATCTGGATCCTCGTGGCGAAGAGCTGAGAGTGGTGATGTAGAAGTACCAAAAGTGAAACCTGAAGCACCTACCCAACATTAGATGCGTTAACAGAAACTGGAGGTTCAGCAGTGGTAGTGCTTGTGGTTGTCGTTGAATTTGTAAATAATAAGGTTGACTATGCAAAAGTGATTTAGTTTTGAGAAACTCCCATAGATAATGATGGGAAAGGAGCAATAGTAATTGGTGTGGTAGCAGTAGAGGTGGGTGAAGGAATAGAGAAATCCTGGAAAAAATCATCTCCGATCTGAACAGAGGTAAGTATTCCAAAAGTTACCTCATGATTAGAAGAGACTGGCTGCGAGACCAAAGGTTGAGAAGTAGCAGTAGTATCGTCATGTTCTTTGTGAATGTATTATTTAATAGGAATCTCTGAAACCGTGTTTGATTGTGAGTCTTCGTGGTCACTCAGTGTAGGAGTTAATGGCCTGTGAGCAGCTTTCTTTACCTTCTTCTTTTTCAGAGCTTGAGGAGTTTTACATGGACCCACTTTCGCACCTCTTTTCTTTCCCCCTTTCTTTGGTTTGTCTGCCTCGTCAAGTACGTTTCGTACATCATCGGTCATTGGGCAAAAACCAGAGACTGGTAGACTATGATAGGTTCGCAGCACTTCGCTTGTAGCTGGAACATCGCGAAGCAAAGATTCCGAAATTGAGCCAATAAAGGTGAACTTGGATTTATCTGTGAGAATGATGTTGGTGGTGTGGAATATTCGAATAGCAGCCATATAAGAATCTTCGATGATGGGGATGTTAAGCTTATCAATAGCCCGTTAAACCACAACAATTCAGAAACAAGCACCAGAAATCTCACTGTGTCGTGTAGTCGAAATGGTACTTTGGACTAGTTTAGCCTAAAGCACTAAGCTATAGTCCAGATTGATTCTAGAGAAGATACCATACATAATCGTCATGAAAAGTTTGATGGCACAGTCGGAGCCGGTAACCCTCTGAGAAAAACTCTTAAAGATGAAGGTGGGCAATCTGTTCCACATCGGCGGTAGGTTTTGTTTCATGAAGGTAAGAGTTTCCTTGTACCCCATCTGGTAAAACATCTCCAAGATGTCAAAGTTGGAGACGATCTTAGGGTCAACCAGGTCACGACGTTAGGAAAGCCCTAGCAGGCTACAGAATCAAGATTTGGTGATGTTGGTTTTCTTGTTTAAGATTTCGAACATAATCCTCTCCTCACCCTTTTGGTAACTTACTGTTGAGTATGCCTTAGACAGAAGAACCAAGGGAACTATCTTTGATTTCGTAAGAGCAATGACCAGTGGAGATTATCTCAAGCACTCGACGATTGGCTGAAGAAAACAATCATATTTGGTCGAATCAAGGTCTAGAATGAGGTTCTGGTTTACCTTGATGCTGAGAATCGAGGATTGCACCGTTTGTTTTGCAACGGAGGGGGTTTCTGATGAAGTTTTCATGGAAGCTTGATGAAGACGATGACGAACAGTAAATGTATAATCGTTGTGATGATTTTGATTTCTTTTGAAAGTGGTACGTAACTATCGAAGCATCAAAATCATTTTATACCGTATAGTAAGTGAGAGAAATCTGACAGTTGGTTACTTCAATCACTGAAATGTCGCATAGAATATCGTGAGTGACAGTTGTCGCGTTATAAAGCGTGTCAGTTTCAAATTTTTCATGGGCCCAAACCTTGTCCTTTTAAATTATCGTTTCAGTTACGCCCTTTCGCAGTTTATTCAGTTATGAACTTTCGCAATTAATTGCCACCGACAGTTCTGCGAAACTGAAAGTAATAATGTGTACCACGAACCAGACTTTGGAAAATTACAAGGATCTTCATGCGAGAGTGTGCCAAAGATAAATAAATAAATCAACATTATTCTAAAGGATTCTAATGATGTCTATTAAGACATGAAGCAGATGGATCCCGGGCAATGATCTCTTCCTTCGGAGTCAAGAGAGACTTAAAGTGTCTATGTGGTTTCCCATTGAATTACGATCATTTGTTTGTTGAGAAACATTGACATGCTTCTTTTCATTAAGCTTAAAGGGTGGCCTTATCTTCAACCAAACTACAAAACTTGACTTAAGTCCAAACGTTCGGATGAAGTACTTGCCTAACCAGTGTAATCATAAAAAAAAGTACGCTTTTAAATTATTTTAAGTGACTAGGATAAGAAATCTCAAGAAAAATTAAAAATTGGATCTATTGGGAAGAAACGTATTAGGACTAGAACGTCTCATTAAGATCACACAAAAATAAAAAATGATTTCATGGTACTGACCACGAAGGTGGTCTTTCATTAATTCTATGGTGAATAAGGTAGAACATGTAAATGTTCATCCTCAATTCGTATATATGTGTTGGATTTTGGGTTTCACTCAATTCGTGGTGATAACGAATTTAAGATCATAAACACATAGTTTTTTGTAACCATAAACCTCAGTAGTAATATCTAAGAGTCTCAAGGGTTACATTCATGAAAGTGAAAGTGATGGAGAAGTAGTAGAAGGTGGTTCCAAAGAAATAGTATACCTATGCTATGCAAAAGTGACCAAGCAGTTAACTCTTAACTCAATGTGAGAAGAGTCAGGTAGCTGTTGACTTATGTAAATGAACAAACTTATTGGGAAGAAACGATTGGTGTTATCGATTCATTAAGGCTTCAACATAGAGAGGCTTTTGGACAACATGTAGCAGCATGCTTCTAGTGACACTTAAGTAGTGCATAGATTAGAAAATTTAAACCTGCCCCATCATCTATTATTGAGATCACCAAGATTTGTGCCTTAAAACCTACTCAATTATCTTATATTTTTGGTATTTTGAATATTTTATTAAAAGAAATAAGTAATGAAAATGAAGAATATATTTTTGTATTTTAGTTTTCAAAAATAAGAATAAAAAAAGAAAGAAATAAAATATTTTTGGATTTTCAATTTTCTGAAAAAGAAATAAAAACAAAATAAAATATTTTTGGATTTTTGATTTTCTGAAAAAATTAAAAATAGAATAAAACATTTTTAGATTTTCGATTTTTTGAGAAATAAATAAAGCACAGTAAGTAGAAAGAAATAAAGAAAATGTATAAAGGATACATGAAGTCCCAAACCACGAATGAACAACAGAATATAAATCACTACGAACATTCGCAGCAATTCGCAGTGTGAATAGTTGATTATGAGTCACTGTGAGCGTTCACACCAATTCAAAGTGTGAACAGTGGACTGCGAGTGTTCGCACCAATTTTTAGGTCTATCAAACCCTTATGATTACGAAGGTGGTTTTGGAACAGATTCAGCCTCTGTCATTCCTAAGCCTTGATGAATGTGATTAAAGTTTTGGTTAGGCAAGGCTTTCGTGATGACGTCGGCCAGTTGATCAGTGGATCTAACAAAGTGTATCTCGACATTTCCATCTTCTACATGATCTTTTATAAAATGATACCTCAGTGCGATGTGTTTGGTCTTTGAATGTTGCAATGGGTTGTGACAAATGCGAATGGCGCTCTCTGAATCGCAATATAAAGGGCTTCGCTTCATATTTATACCATAGTCATGAAGCTGATTTTGAATCTAGATAACTTGTGAGGTACAAGAAACAACGAATATATATCTGCTTCAGTAGTTGATAGAGAGACACAAGTTTGCTTTTTATATTGCTAACTTACAAGTTTTCCATCAAGAAATTGGCATCCCCCCGTTGTACCCTTTTGATCTAAACTGCAACCTCCCAGATTAGCATCTAAAAATGGTTGCACAAAGAAACCTGAACTTGAGGGGTACCATAATCCTAGTGAGAATGTTCGTTTGAGATACTTGAGGATATTATTAATAGCAGTCATGTGGGGTTCGTGAGGATTCGCCTGAAACTTGGCACAATAAGAAACAAAAAACTTGATATCCGGACGACTAGCAGTCAGATACGTCAATGAACCTATCATTTGATGATAGAGAGTCATATTAACAGTTGTCTTGTCCAGAGACGGTGTTAGTTTCATTCTCAATGCCATTGGAACCTTCACCTTTGAATCTCCCACCATTCCAAACTTAGAGAGTAAGGTCTTTGTATAAGCCTCCTGATTGATAAAGATACATTCCTGAATTTGTTTTATATTTAAACCAAGGATAAAGTTATTCGGACCCATGGAGCTCATCTCAAATTTAGTTTCCATCAACTTTCAGAACTCAACAGTTAAGCTGGGGTTAGTTGATCCAAATATGATGTCATCAACGTAAATTTGTATGATCATCAAGTGGTCACCATCTTTCTTGTGAAAGAAGGTTGGCTCGATCGATCCTTTCTTAAATTTAGCCTGTTTTAAAAAATGAGTAAGAGTTTCGTACCAGGCTCTTGGAGCTTACTTTAGACCATAAATGAACCCTGGTGGTTGTTCCACATATACTGTTTCTTATAGTGCTCTATTTAGAAAGGCACACTTGACATCCGTCTGATATACTTCAAAGTTCTTGTGTGCTGCATATGTTAGAAAGATACAAACTGATTCCAACCTTGCAACCAGTGCAAATGTTTCTTCGTAGTCAATGCCTTTTCCTGACAATACCCCTTAACTACAAGTCGCGCCTTGTTTCTTATCACATTTCCATCTTTGTCTAGCTTGTTACGAAACACCCACTCTAGACAACCAATGAATGCATCCTTTAGAGTAGGAATAAGTCTCCAGACGTTGTTTCGTTCGAATTCATTGAGCTCCTCCTACATTGCTTGCACCCAATTAGAATGTTCAAGAGCAATTTGAACATTTTTAGGTTCAATTTTTGAGATAAAATGAGTTGAACATGCAATATTCTACTTTAGAAAATAATGCAGTTCGCTTCGCTTTTTGTTATGCTCTTTTAAGAACTCCTGAAGACGAATCTCCTTTTACTTGGGTTTTTGGAGGATCTTTGGTCCATTTGGCAAACAGAGGGTAGTTAGGATTCTTCACACTTCTGAATCATCATTCGTATTTTTATTCTCCCACTTGAATGATGTATGTTCTACTTATTCATTCAGAGTGGAACCCTCCGCATGGAATGGTGGTTCTATGCTAATTTAAGGGTTTTCGTTCTCCCCCTGAACAGATGTATGAGATGAAGAGGTTGAAGCAAAACCTTCCCCCTACAGTGTTGCATTCACACCTGTTGATTGAGATAGAATTTCAGGGTCTTTCGGAGTGGGGGACTCGTGTTTCATATGTTTTGCAGAATTTTTGGGTCTTTCGGAGTGGGGTACTCCTGTTGATTAAGAAAGAATTTCAGGGTATTCCTTGTTGTCAGCTTCTTTAGATGCTAAGGAGATTTCCTTTTCTGTCTCATCGTATAAGTTCATGAAGTCCTCGTAGAGATTGGAAAGTGGAATTGTTGTTGGATTCGGCTTGGGAAAGATCTCCTTTGATGTACTGTCATCCTTCTGAAACTTCTTCAAATAATTGTCATCTAATATTACATAATAGGTTTCTTCTATCTTTTTAGACTTTTTGTTGAGAACCCTATATGGCTTAGAAGTCAGAGAACACCCTGAGAAAATACCTTCATCAGCCTTCACATCGAATTTGTTCCTTTTCTCCATAGAATTGAAGATAAAGCACTTGGAACCAAAAACAAGGAAGAATTTGACATTAGGTTTTCGATAATTTATAATCTCATTGGGAATGACAAAGAATCGCTTATTGGGGATTGATCGATTTTGGTAAAGTAGGTTGTTTCAATAGCATCCAGCCAGAAGTAAAGCGGCAGATTCACGAATGAC